TTTTGAGAGTAGCATGTAGTAATTATGTGCCAGATTTATCAGAAATTGTAAATAGTTTGCGACAATGTCAATCATCACATTAATTTTTAAATAAATGGTTTATTTTTACAGTTGCGTTTTATTGTATTTTACATACAACGTCTAACTCTAATAACGCAAAACCTGAAAGTAGTTTGTTCAGTTCAGTTTTATTATTACGGCCCGCAAGGTCTAGCAGTAACGACTATGTGGCCTAAGGGGAAAAAAGGTTGAGTACCGCTGCGTTATACTATGCTTTCGTCAGATCAAAATTAGAATGTGCATCCATAATCTGGAATCCATCTCATCAGTTGTATACAGAGAAAGTTGAATCAGTACAACGTCGTTTCCTAAACTATAGATCAGACAATATCTATCCACCAATTAGATTTCCCCATGATGCATTGTTAGCTAGACATGCTATGAATAGCTTGAGTTGCCGTCGTGATTGTCATTACACAATTTTTCTTTTTAAACTGATTAATAATTCAATTATTGACCCACATATTCTGCAAAAACTTAATTTCAATGTACCTAGACCAACCTCTAGAGTGGTTAATCCTCTTTATCTGCCAACACCAAGTACAAATATTCTGAAACATTCACCTATGCATAACATGTGTGTCAAATGCAATCCTGCAAGTTATCAGCTCGGCATTTTTTACTGTTCCATCTCTGAAATTGAGTCTTTTTACTATATCCCTGTTCTGTAGTTAGGTGTAACCTGTAGAACAGTGTATACATAAATAAATAATATATGCTGAGTAAGCCAGTCTTTTCCAAACAGGATTTCAGCTGTTTTATGGCATAATATGCTCTATTTAGCTTAGGACATATATAGTCCACCTGATTATCCCAATTTAGATTGGCGTCTAAAGCAAATTCAAATCCAAGATAGAGTGGATGTAAACATTGACATATCCTATTTATTAGTGACGATTCCCATAATGTATGGTACTTGTATTGTAACATTCAGTGGAAAATAAATTGTCTTGTCTTGTCTTGTCTTGTCATACATTACATAATGGTTTTTACATCCATTCTCTTCAAAATTTATCTGTGATTTTTCAGACCGTAAATCAGCAGCCAGTGGATTGGAACAACTAAGACGTCGGGCCACCGACATGGGTACATTAGCTCGAAGAGGCTCTTTGGAGAGACAAAACAAGAGACGATCATGGTCCCCCGATCATTTGGCAACGAGTCTTGATTCCTTCCGCCCCATCACTTTGACTATGTCTTCGTTTTTCAAACAAGAAGGAGATAAACTGAAAGATGAGGATCTGTACAAAAGTCTGCAGGAGCTGAAGAGGCCAACTTTGATTCTGAAGAAGTTGAAATGTATTCCTTCGACGCTAAAGCTAGAAATTTCTCCGTGTCCTGTGGAAGTGAAAAATTGTCTGACTACTGAGTTGGCCAAACTGCATCCCTATCCCGACGAGAAGAGCAGGCCACTGAAAGAACTCCTGGAGTTTCCAGTGAAAGAAGTGCTAGTTCCTCATTACACTTATAGAAATTTACTCTTCGTCTCGCCAAAAGAGCTGAATTTCTCCAATCGTACTGGCTCTGCTAGGAATTTGGCTGTACGTATACAGCTGATGGCTGGCGAAGACGAAAAACACGCCCTCTTCAACATATTCGGGAAATCCAGTTGTCCTGAAATGACAAACGAGGCGTACTCTGCAGTGACGTATCACTGTAAGAATCCAGTGTTTTACGACGAGGTGAAGATCAGGCTTCCTGCAGCTCTTGCAGATAATCATCACTTACTTTTCACGTTCTATCACATCTCTTGTCAGAAGAAGATGGAGCAAAATACTGTAGATACGCCTGTGGGATATACTGTGAGTAGAAATTGTTTTTACACGCTTGTATGTTTGTTTGTATGTATGTTTGTTTGTTTGTAACTCTCAAGCTCGAGATCTGTATTGACAGAATCATCGATATTATTGCTTGATCTATTCGCAGGCAGATGGCGCTGTACGTAACATCCTTGATATTTCTTGATCTATTCGTGGGCAGATGGTGCTGTACGTTGATAGGTTGTTCAAAAGAAAATCAAAATAATAAATATAGTTTAAAAAACACGCTTCTATAGCGTATGAAACTAAAAAGTAAAAAATATAGTATAAAAAAACTAAAAAACACGCTTTTGAATAACATCGAACTAAAAAGTTGAAAACATTTTTTTTAAATAAGCTTAAAACAATAACGATCAACAACTACTAGTAAAAACAGTGATTTGCTTCGAATGAATCTGTTTTAATGAACAATTCAGTTCTATATACATCATTTTTCAGTGGTTGCCGTTATTGAGAGATGGTCGTTTGGTTTCTGGAGAATTCTGTTTACCGGTAATGTTAGAACCGCCTCCTTGTAACTACAGTTACATTCCACCGGATGTGTGCTTGCCTGGCACCAAATGGTTGGATAACCATAAAGGTTTATTCACAGTCACTTTGGAAACCGCTTCATCTGTGCATACTCACGATCCACCGGTTGAAAGATTTTTCACTGCCTATGATTTTGTCCATACTGGTATTATTCCACAAAGGCTAGGCGAGGTTGGAACAGAAACTTTTATTTATATGTTCTTTTGTGTTGAATGTTTCTCAAATTATATTTGTTTCACTTAAATATTTCTACTACCGTTTGATTTTTCTTTTTTTTTAATATCAAAATAGACTGAAACTTTTTTGTTATCATGTCTTTGATGGTTAACATTCAAGTTATCCAATGTTAGCTCAGGGTTAATATGCATTAGGTAATTTTTCCCATATTTGAAAATATGTTTCTATAAATATCTTAGCGATTTGGAACTAGTCCGCCTGATGTATGGTGGATTTAAAAGCGATGATGCATGTATATCGTATTTTCATCAAAAGGATAACTTTCTTCTTCGCAAAACTTCCGTTATATCCCAATGTTCTCTTAATGGATGTCGACTCATTCATACGTCTCTATTTTTATAATTCAACAAGTCTATTTTATTCATTGAACCTTTCCTTTGAAGAATCCTTATAGAAAAATCCATAGTATTTCTACAATCCATTGATTTAATATTACCTTGAAAAACTACCAAGGATTAAATTTTTCCTACCCTCTGTCAACTTGAATGTTGTGAATTTGAATCCTTGAAAGTACCAGCTTTGATATTTAGAAATATTGAAGATTTCATTTAGCTTTAGTGGTAATATAATTTGCATAGACCATGCTTTATCAGACCTGTAATATATTGTTCTTGCAAGATAGGAGCGAAATAATAAACCATGGTTTTGATGATACTTGGAATACAACCAGGGCTTAGATCTCATACTGAAAAATTTGAAAACATCAATCGGTTGTATGCAACATTAGCAAACTACTAACCAGGTTTATATCTTCATCAATAGAAAACTCTTTGAAGTTAGTTATAACAAAATACCTTTGCCTATCGCAAATTCTGCTTTCTCTCTTTTCTCCACCTGTTCTTTCCGTTTCTCTCTCTGGTCCTTTTTATTTCTCTCCCCTTCTTTTTCTTCCCTTTCTTTCTACTCTCATCCCTCACTTTCTCCCCTCCATATCTCTCACTTTCTCCTCCCCTCACTTTCTCTGTTTCTTTTATTTTCCCCCTTGCTGTTTTCTCCCCTCTCTTTCCCTGCTTTCTTTTTATCATCTCATTTGTTCTTCTCTGTTCTTCTTCTCTTCATTTTTCTTCTTATCTTTTTTCTTCTTCCTCTCTCTCATAACCTAATATCTGGAGCATAAGTTTTCTAATAAAACAACCTATTTTTTTCTTTGCAAGGTCGGCTATGTTGGGATTATCTGGGGCCAAACCTGAAACGATTCTGAAACATCTTCCATTGCTATTTGACAACATCATTGAGTTGCTGGTTCAGCCACCTAGGCTTTCCGGACATACTTTAAACGTTGGACATACCTGTTTCGAAGCCATTTGTTCGTTGTTGGATAAAATATCGGTGAGATGCAATTTATTACAAGTTAGAAAATATCACACTTTTAATGAAACTCCTATGACTGAACTTTTTTTATGAGTAATCTCAATCATCATTAATAACAAGATTGGATTTTGAAGAATGTTCCAGAGGTACCAGTCGATCAGCATGGCCGCAATCAACTTTTGGCAACGTACATCCAATATCAGTGCAATATGCCCCACCCTTTGTACAATCAAAACTCGCCCGAGTTTGATGGAAACTCTACACTCACACGTAGTAGTTCTAACCCTGATCTAGAAGTAGCCCACGTACAGTATTCCAGAGGGCTTGATCGAGCGGCAAGCATGCGAGTCCCCACGAATGAACCGATCAGTCCAAATTCGTCAACTTGTCACAAAATCGTCCACCAAGAATTGGCTTTGCAATGGGTGGTAAGTTGAAAAGTATTCATTTTTGACCGATAAGCCGGCCGACTACAGGTTTCTAGAAAGAACCGTTACATTATATAAGCACGTCTTCCCGACCCAAGAGGGCAGTTTAGAAAGTGAATCGAGCGGCTAAACAAGAAATTCAAATAGTGGAAATAAATTGAGGGTTAGTTGCTAAGTGTTGTGATTAGTGAAATATTGTTGGAAATAAATTTGTTTGAGACAGTTAATTCTTTAATCTGTTACAATAATTTCATGATTCTTTCAGCTCAAGATTCATAGGTTTCTTTATCACATTTTTTTCTCAGTGTATTAGATCTCGTGGGCTTTTTATAACAATAAACGTCGTTATTACTATTGTACATTATATCATTAACTCTTCAGGTTTCAAGTGGGCGTTCCAAAGACCTAGCCATGCAGAATGCTTGGTTCCTCTTTGAGTTGGTCGTGAAAAGTATGGTGGAACACCTCTCGCATACCAGAAGCCTCGACGCACCAAGGAAGTTGCGGTTCTCCGAACAATTCCTCGACGACATCTCTAAAAAATCAATATGATTGAATCAATGATTTATGAAAGTTGGATAATTAGAAATGAGAAGTATATGGATGTCACAAAAAATAAATAAATAAATCAAACTAGTAAGCATAGATACAGATGCACTCATACGCATACCTAGATTAAAATTTATTATCTTTTTTGTTATGCTGCAATAACAATTGTTTGAAAGTGTGAATACTTTTGTTGTCAACCACCTTCAAATACTTCTGTTGTTTCTCGAAGAACTCTGAAAAACAGACTATTCATTTTGCAAATTGATATACAAGACTGAAAGTAAAAATTAATCGGCAGATCATAGATATCTATCTATCTCTAAGGCAATTATTAGATCCACTCTGTATACAAATTTATTATAGCTAACTCCTTCCCAAAATCATAAAATCGTTAGTACAAATGTACATTCAACTCAGCGCTGCCTTTTTCTTGCTCGTTCCCTATTTGAACTTTTGCACTACACTGCTCGATTTTCGCTCGAACTCTACACGCTCATTTATTGCTATGTCAGAATAAAATACTACCCAAAATCGCCCTAACCGCCGGTTTTTCAAGAATAATTAAATTAAATATTCCACCCAGGAAAACTATCTCCTAAACCAAAATACCGCCCTTGATCGACCGTCAAGAGAACCCTTGAAACTCCCAAGTTTTCGAACCTACTCGCAGGCTTTCTTTCCGAATTCCGATTTCTTTCCAATAGCCAGGAAGAAATCACGGATTCATCGTCCCCCCGTCTCTCAAACCGTTCTTTCTAACAGTCGCCCACGTGCAATGGAGGTCATCAGAAAAACCTATTTAGCTGAATTGACAAAACTTTCAATGCTGAGATATTGATATGCCCATATTTACATCTTGAGCTACGTGGCAAATATATCTGACTGTGTATCTTTTCAAATACGCCGATAAATAGTGTTCATATAATATAAACACTCTCGATCCCTCGGCCATAATTTTACATTGTATTAGAGACAGATCCGGCGTTTAAAAAATCTGGATTAAAGAAATCTGTCTCTTCCCGAAATTAGAATATATATATTACCATACATTGCTTTCGCTAGGTATTACACATCTTCAAGATGAAGAACGAACTGATTTTTGTTTGATCTTCCTCTTGAAGATGATCACTTTGCGTTGAGAAAGAAAATCCAATAAATTGAATTTGTCGATAAGAAGGTTGAATTGAATCAAAGTTTGAATTGATAACTCCTAATAATGAAATTTTTCAGTGATAGCCTCGATACAGACTCCTGTCAAATATAAACAATTTTTCACTTGAAGTTTTATCATTTTACAGTCAGTCTTCACTTCATAGTAAGGCAGTGGACACCGTCAGACTACTATTATCATGGCATGATAGTGATCCGAGGTATAACACACCAGAAGCTCGCCAAAGAGTGGCAGCTCTGTATCTACCACTTTTATCAATCGCCATGGATGTTCTCCCACTGCTGCACCATTTCAGTGCTGACAAAACCCAGTATAATAATGAAGATGTCGCTCCCAGCAATATCAATCAAACGGTTGCCATGGCGATTGCTGGAAAATTACCTCCATCTACTTGTGATACCTTTCCAAGTGTAAGTAAAAGCCCGGTTTTGATCAGCACACATCAACATCCTTTTTTTTTTTAGCTACAATCACGCAAAGTTAGTATCAGTGCAGACATAACGAGGAGTATACTAACTTGTGTTTTGTGGGTTTTGAAAAACATCGAGAGGGACTCCTTGTCTCAGTGGTTGGGCGAACTAACCTCGACCAGGTTAGCTACTCTCCTTCATTTGTTGGATGCTTGCGCCAGCTGCTTTGAATATAAGCCCAGAAGGAGGGCCCCACCTCCTTCTGGGTATGCCCACGCTCAGGGCACTCAAGATATGAGGTCGAGACTGGAGGATGTCATTCTTGGGCAGGGCTCTGCTAGGGAAATGATGCAAAGAAGAAAAGGTAATTCTTGCTTCAAAAAAATATCGACAGTCAAAGTCAAAGATGATCGTTGAATATTCATATAGAATTTTTCTAAATTACATTTGATTCGATTTTCGATCTAATTTTTTAAACACCCTGTATTAATAAATAGACTTTTATGGAAAATCAATTGTGCAACTAGGCTAACAAATGCTTTTAATAGAAAAAATTCATTATTGTAATATACTTCAACTGGGTTCATGCCATTTAAAAACTACCAGCTGAACTTGAAATTGCTATAATTAGATTTGAATTAATTTTAGGAGGTTCTTCGCAAGCAACGGAGAAAGTTCGTTGGAGAAAAGAGCAGATGTTGTACAGGCCGATTTCAGAACAGATCGATCGCCCTCGAGATGATCTCATAAACGACATACATTTAGAAGGACACTTTGCTACGGAAGCCTCTTTCATAATATTGGATACCTTAGAGAGATGCGTTGCTACCATTTCTCAGTGGGACTCGCAACAGCATCTAGTAGGTCTTGCTCTGACAGTTTTGCTGCATGCGCTCGGTAAAAACCAAAGTACTACTGTGTTACCTCACATGTTCGCTTCTCAGCGTAGTTTGGTATTCAAGGTAAGGAAAGATTTATATACAGTGGATTTCTTCAATGTCCCCCCCCCTTTTATTTTTTGAACGGGTCAACTCCAAAAATTGAAATTTGGGATAATAAAATTAATGCGTGAATACTTTATTTCGAAGTGAAATTGACAGATGAAACTTTCAAGATGGCGACTGGGCGTCATCTGGGAAAAAAAATTGAATGGAAAGGGGGGTCTTGTGACACATCATTTTGAAGCTCCCGACGAATACTTCACAACCCTGGAATATAATGTCAGTAGGATATATATATATATATATATATATATATATATATATATATATATATATGTATATATATATATATATAT